TAAATATCAATTCTTTTTTTTTTTTTTTTTTTTTAATTTTTTTTTTTTTTTTTTTTTTTTTTTTTTGGCGATGAATATCTGTCGTTACTTCTAGATTGTTAAAAACAATAAGCATTACAATACTCTCTTTTGTCTTTGCTTCTATTTTCGTTTGCTTTACTGCTTTTACATTAGCTTTAAAGCCGATTGTTTTCATTGATGCAGGTTTGTTTATCTTGAGGAGCTAGTTTGACTCAAAACGTTTAACGGGTTTCGTTTATCCCTAGACACAAACTTCAGATATACTTGCGATCTAATTCCCTGAATATCTTATCYTAGAAATGTCTTAACATCTGGGAACAGCATGCAGTTTAGCTATCTTTCAGTTTATTGATATTTTCATATACATTTCATTTGGTATATTGATGTTATTCTAGCATCCCACGTAGTCGAGATAGCAGGCAATACAAACAAAATAAATAAATAAATAAATAAATTTTTTTAAAAATTTACTTTGTAATTTCATCTTCGAGCTAGTCAACTTCAACCTGTCTGCTTGAACTTCGTTCCTCGCACAATTGCTTTTCTATGAGTTTGACCAAAAATTACCCTAAAATAGAGACCTAATTAATGACGGCTCCACTGTCGGTCTCCGCTCCGCCGGATCTTAGCCTCGAAAGAAGGGGTCGCCGATCTTAATTAAGGAAAACTTTTCTTCTCAGAAGCCATTTTCCTCCTTCCTTCCTATTCCATTTCCTATTTTATTTATTCTTTCTACACCTATTTGTATCCGGTTTCGTATACGTTTTGTGCAAGTCCGATATTTTTTGAAAATTTGAACAACATCAAGTGGAAATAATAAATGAAACTTGTACTTCAATGTTAAAGCTATCAAAAATACTAATGAGAGTTGCTTTAACAACAAACACTGTAGTAAGATAGAAAAAAAAAATACTGAATATCGTACTATTACACATCGAAAAACTTCGTGAAAGAATTTTAAAAACATCTTGTAAACATTGAAGGGGAAAAATAAAGGAAGAAAGAAGGAAAGAAATGCAAATGCGACATCATCTGTTAGTCCTAATTATAGTCAATATTTAATGTAATTACGAAAATGTAATTACGAACTTTTTTGGAAAAATAAAGCATTTCATCTGAAAACAAACATCGTACGAGATAATAAACTTTGAAATTTTATCGAATCCAGAAAACTTCTGGTGAGCTGATCAAAACAATGAGAACGCGGCTCGGTCACAGGTTTTATACGAATTAAGCGCGTCTTTTCGAAGTGGAAAAACCAGAAAACCAAAGAGGGCTAGAAAATRAAACCATTCGATTCAAGGGAGAGACCTAGCAATCTCTTCTCACATTTGTGATGCCAAATTAAGGAATCGAACTCAATCGAGACCCCAGAAGCGAGAGGCGAGTGTATGGCGCCGCTGCCGCTTTATTGCCGATTCCCCAATAACTCATTCCGCTTAATCTTCAGTGTTAGAGTAACATTTCTAATAGTTTCGGATCTAAAGCATGAACCAACTATAAACGTCTACAAGTCGCAGATTCAATTCCCGAATTTTTTTTGTGTGTGGCCGATAAAAATTTACAAAGTTTTCTTCGTTTTCATGTACATTAATAGCATCAATTAAGAGAGCTTATTCTAATGAATCTATACTTGATGCATCAAGTATTAGTGATAACTAATTTATTGCAAGATACAATCATGCATATGTTGTTTCTTGTTTAACGGGCTCACCTTTTCGACTGTCTTGTATGTAGTTAGCTCTCAGCGGCGAAGCCCAGTTCTATATCAATCTGCAGCCAACCAATCGATTACGCAAGTCACATCTTGAAGGTCGCGGTCTCTTTTAACGACTTTATGTAAATTACATCCGGGATGTTTGGTTTCTTTGGTGAACCAACATCATGTGATGGCCACTGATTGGCTGAACTGAATGTAAAGTACATCCGGGATGTTAGGTTTCTATGGTGAGCCACCATCATGTGATGGCCACTGATTGGCTGAACTGAACAAATGATTTTAGTTGATGCCATGCAAATCGGTGAAATATCATCATGGAACTTTTGGCGATGCAACGAAAATGCTTCTGATCACGGATTGGTTAATAGTAACCGGAAGTGCGTGCACGAGATAACCTGGTATTAAATCAAGGGGGAAGACGCTGAATAGGGGGTGGCTATAAACAGACAAAAAAGGCAAGGCAATAATGTTGTTCAACAGTTACATTATCAGTCAGTTTGGTTCATTATACTGAGCTGATATCATTATCCTGTCATCAATTATCTACATTCAGTTTGTCAAGTTTTAAGGATTTGGTAGTATGGATAAACTACTTTTGATAATCGATTGTGATGATTATACGCCAAAGAACTGTCCATTGATTCATTAGTATCATTCCACTGTGCCAAAATTCATCGACCAGCGGGGACTTTAGATATAAGTTAAAAGAACCAAAGTTCTGTCTTATTAGTCCTATGCCAGGATTTCCTGTAAGTCTAACTAAAATTCCTTATCCTAGCCTGTAACAAACTTTGGGCTGATCTAAGTCAAGGAACGGCAAACTCACAGATCAAACCCTGGAACAACCTAGCTTTGGGCTGATCTGTAAAGTTAGGACAAGCCTAACTCACAGATCTAGCCCCTAGCCCTGAAGCAGCCTGGCTGATTTAAGTCAGGACACGACAAACTTACACATCGAGCCCTGAAACAACCTGTGTGTTGACCCCACCAGCGGTGCTCGAGTTCATATTGATTACTGAATGCCGAGGCATTGTCAAGGACACCATTCTTTGCAGAGCACCGACGTTATTCTGACCAGTGGTGGCATTCATGTTCGTTGCATGCGAGGGTTCAATATTATTGACATTTAACCGCTGAGAGCGGAATGTGAGTTGAAACATCTTGATGAACTCTTTCTTGAAAGATCGGTTGAGAAGGCCGTAAATRAGTGGGTTAATAGAACTGCTTGCGTAACCCATTAACAGATAAAACAAATAAACCTGTCTAGGATGGTGCATGGTATGGTGCGTGAACGTGTCCAGCATATCGATAACAGCGACGGGCGTCCAACAGGCTACGAACCCAAGGACAGCAGCGAAAAGGGGCTTGGTGATGGTAATTTCTTCTACATTCATGGACAGACCGCAGCCTCTAGATACAAAGTTGTTACGTTGGTTGGCCATCAATCCGTTTTTGTGGTTTTTCACTTTAACGTAGATTCTGTAGTAGCAGAATAAAGTTATAAGTGCGGGGATAGCAATGTAGAAGATCTTGAGGAAGATAGTGTAGATGTAGGCGGCTAGTGGAGTAGAGTAGTTGAGGTACGAAAGCACTTTCCCGTAGTGGAATGAATAKTTAGCAAAGCCGATGATCAACGGCAGACACGGGCCGAGCGTAGCAAGAATCATGATTATGACCAACGATAGAACAGTCCTATAAAGAGAAAAGTACTTCCGGAACAATACCGGCTTGACAATCCGGTAAAACCGGTTTATTGCCATTGCTGTCATGAGTTGAAGCGAGGCGATGGGCAAGGAGAAGGCAAACGATCCTTGAAAATGTGTAACGACTCTCCCGTGCGGGAAATTTCCGGTGATAAAGGCTTCGATTGACAACGGCATACAGATAGTCGCCATTAAAATATCAAGCACAGCCAAGGCAATGATGTACAAGTTAGGAACGGTACGCAACTTCTTGCTTCGATACACGGCCAAGCAAACCATGAGGTTGCCTAGCAACGCTGTGACGGTGATCAAAATTGTGGCAACCGTTTCCAAGACAACAAGAGCTGGCCTTCGAGCAAGCATTTTTTTCTGGTATTCCTCTGTATTAAACATCTTGTTCTTCTCGTCTTTTATGATTACTAAAGGAAAAAGAGTATATAAGTTATATTTGATAAACTCTCAAGTTTTTGTCGTAATGCTCTAAATAGATTTTGATTTCTGAATTCTAAATTTTAAGTTGTTTTTTTTTTTTTTTTTTTTTTTTTTTTTTTTTTTTTTTTTTTTT